AATACTTATTCTCTAAAAAATCATTTTATCACGTAACATTATATAAAGAATAATGAGAACAATCATTATAAGTGAAGCACTGCTTCACGCAAAACAACTACAATAGGTGGAGCATTACTCTATGTGGAACAACTAATACAAGTAGAACAACTATTTTATACAAAATAATAATTTCACGCAGATGACAGTGAAAGTAATCCAAAATAGGTGGCAAGATTCATGGGTTACTTTCATAGTGGGATGTTCCGGAGAGTTTGGCTTGGTGGCTCAGATATGGACGTAGTTAAGAAGTCTCTCTTAACCTTTTTCCTGAAGCACAAATGTTTTATGCTTTTTTTCTTATTCTCTTATACTTGTCCACGTACAGCCTTTTCTCTTATAGCTGTTCACAAACAGCTTTTCTTTTTTAACTCGAGAACAAGTTTTATTAAATATAATTATTTCAATGGTCACATAATAAGTTTTAACCGTTACTCAACATTAACTCTCAGTAACGGTTACTTAACATTAAAACTCTCCTTAATGATATCATTCATTACGCGTATTAAAACCTTTTCTTGTAACTGTTATTTTTGACACTATATATATAGAGTCTTCACAACTCAAAGGGGGAGCTTTTTCAGAACTACTAGACTTTGACCCATAGCTTTTCTCCTTAGCTTATTCTCATTCAGAACACTTATTCTTTTCTTATTCTCTTCCACCTGTCATGACATTTAGTACTTCAAGAACTGCTTCAATCTTCCTCTCTGTCACCTCCGGTACATCCCTTACTTGTTTGCAACGCTTCCTCTTCTCATCACAAGAATCACATTTACATATCCAATCTTTTTCCTTTTTGGAAAACATGAACAAAGGAGTGAACAATTACTACAGCTCCCTAACCTCTATATTTTATATATGTAGGAAATTATGAAAAATAATCCTCTTCATAAGTCTAATTCAAAAATATCCCTCATTATAATTTTAAAGCTTTTTATCTAATTTTAGAATAACTTGACAATAATGTTTTTTAAACAATTTCAGATAAATTAAATGATTTTAATTTTTTCTATCCCACTATCTAAACAAAAATTTTAAAATTAAATCTTTATTTCTCTCACTTGCCAAATACTGTCTATCTCGCTAACCAGCTTTCTCTTGCCATCCCAAAAAGCAATGGCATCATCAAGGTATGTGTTTTGGGTTTTTAGGTTTATTGATTTATGTTCATAAAACTTCAAAGTTGAGAGATTGAAATTGATTAGACATATCTATAAATTAGAACACTATATAGCTTTGGCAACTTAAATTTGACTACGAGTAGTCAAATTAATTAGTTATTAAGTATTACATTATTGGTTTTAATTAAGGCATGGCGTAACTAGTTTTTAAGCGTTGCAAGACAAATTTTTAAACATTGTGAGACTAATTTTAACAATTGCATAACTTAAGTATTGCGAGATTGACTTTTAAGTATTATATAACTTAAACTAGTCATGTAATGCTGTATCAACCAACCACATAATGACTTAAAATCAGTTATGTAATACTTTATCAACCAGTTATGCAATATCCTAAAAATTAATCATGTAATAACTAAAAATTAATTACGCAATGTTTAAAAGCTAATCATGCAATACTCTATCAACTAGTTACATAATGCTAAAATCATGCAATACCTAAAACCTTTAAACCCAATGCCTAACCAGCAATGCATGTCCTAATAACTAATCACGTATGTCTTGTCAACATTCGACCCAAAAACCATTAAAACTATTAAATTTTATTTAACAAAATCAATAACTTCAAATAACTCGTTATGTTTCATTTAATAATATAATTAACGAATATACCTATCTAACAAAGAATGCTCAAAATGCTAAAAACTTTTTTATCACATATAAAAAATCATTTCAAAATGCCAAAAAATTTTCCTTTATATATAAAAAATAACTCTAAAATACTCAAAACGTTTAAAAGTTTTAGGAAGAAAAGGTTAAAGGATATGAGTCGGTTTAAGGTGTATATCTAAACATATGGGTTAGTCTCATTAAAAGTAATTTTATCTAAAATTAATTTCTCTTAACTAAAAATAATTAAAATTATAAAGATGACTATTTTCAGGATATTTTGAAAAGAACCCAATCAAGTTTACAAAGTTTGACAAAAGCTGATCATAATAAACGAGTAGATGATTTATTGCACTATCTACACAAGGGACACAAATAATTCAAACTAGCTGCACTAATTTGTTATGGTTAATACTTGCATGATGGGTACAGGTGGACAAGATCTCAGGTTGTTTTGCTGTAAAGCAAACTTATAGCACGTTACCTTGTTTTGTTACGTGTAGCCGCGCATGTTCACTGTGTTGTTGAATCTAAACACTTGGTTCATGCAATATAACAAGCGTTAATAATGTATTATTCATATATATTACTTGTAATTAACTTTCAGAAGAATGAAGCTAATGTTTGATGCTATTTTCTTTGCTGGTACTTAAGATCTGTTCATCCCTGTTTCTCGTGTTCATAACAGAGGCTGCTGTTGCAGCCATTACTTCAGCTTTTCACAATATAACACTAATTGTTATCAATAAGCCAAACCACTGGCCAGTGCATCTCCAGCATGAAGTAAACTCTCTGTCAAGTGTCAACCAATAGCCACCCATGAGCTACCAATCCTCTACACCATTGTAAATTCAATTATTTCTTCCTCCTCTAGGCGGCTTCCGAGTATCCAAACCTGTTGCTTGAATCGGCTCTCCTTCACAAACGAACTACTCAAAACCTTTCTCCCCTTGTGACTACAAGGGTGCATGTGGTGGGTCTCAGTTCATGGGACTCTCCATTTTAGTGTATTTTATTTGAAGGGTATTTCTCAATATCAATGGATTCAAATGGAATTATGATCAAAATTTAGGGTGTTATGAGTAATTTACCTTTTAATATTTTTATTATACTCTAGGAACTATTTAATATTTTTTTCTCATAATAGTTTATTGTGTACAAAAAAAATAATAGTTTATTAGAGTAAACTACCTATAGTTTACAATTGGTCAATGTCAAATTAAATCCTGTTCAAAGGGACTGACAATGTTAAGTAGTGTACATTTGTGTAGATAAGCAAACTTTTATGTTAATTTTAATTAAGCTAGCGAGATAAGTGTTCGAACATAGAATTTAAAAATTAAGAAATGTTTAGAAATGATTACAAGGCGTGTATTTTATGTCATTTTTTTTAAATTTTATTTGATTTTATTTATAATATGTAAAAGAGTTATTTACGTATAAATCTATGAAGAGGAAATTTAATGATAGATAACATTTTGTATTGATAAAATCAATATAAAATATTATTTCTCTATTTTTTTTTTCATACATTTTAAAAAAACTAAAAAATCTTATTTATAGACAAAAGTATCTCTTCTCAATAGACACAATTATCTATTTTTCAACAAACATAAATATTTATTTTTTAATATAATTATTTAAACAAACTTAACTCTTAAAACGATTTTAATTATTCAAAAGATTGGATGAAAATCTCTATTTGGATAAGATAGTTCAAAAGTTTTTCTTCTTTTGCAATGTAGAGTCTCTAATCGGTAAGATTTTGCAGACCTTGGACGAAATTATTGATATATTCATCCTGAAGATTTCTGTTAGAAAGTGTTTGGTTCAGCTTGGAATGGTTTCTCCTTAACAAACCAGCCATATCACTGTCCTTGTTCATTGCCAACTTGATGGTTGCACTCAACTTATCCTTGGAAATCTGCATCTTTTCTCCTCTCTCCAACTCAACTGCAACCTTGAGTTCATCTACAATTAATCTGGTGTTCAGGATTGGATCTGCCAGGCGAGGAATCAGTACAATTTGGCAATCACTGAGCAGAGATTCCCACATGGTTCCATAACCACAGTGACTCACAAAACACCCAATAGATGGGTGTTTTAGTTGAAGCCAACCACCATGCACCAGCCCTCTTCCTTGAACCCTCTCTTCAAACCCCTCAGACAATGCCTCTTTAACAGTCACGCATCCTTGTGTTTGTCTCAAAACCACCAAGAAAGGTAGCCCCGATAGCTCAAGCCCAAGAACTAACTCTTGAAACTCCTCCTTTTGCAAGGTAATCTGGCTTCCAAATGCACAAAGCACCGCCGAACTTGGCTCAAAGTTACTCAGCCAGGAAGCCCATTTCTCTTCAAGCTGTGTGTTCTTGGTTTCAGGGTAGCAAGGTCCTGTCAACAGAACGGTCTTTCCAAATTGTTCGACAAAATAGTCACAGAAAGGTCCCTCAATTTCACGATTAAGTCCTGAAGGCTGTGGCATCATTCTCTTCAATGCTAGCGATCAGGCGATCTTCAATTGACAATCCTGTTTCCGGTACTACTAAGAAATCTATTATCGCACCAACGTCTTCTTCTCTGAATCTCACAATGGAAGAAGGATAACCAGGAGGTGTCTCTATAAGCTCTTCTTCAGTCACGTCCTTCCCATCCTTGCCATCTGTTTTGGTTAAGAGCGCAATTGCAGCTACAGAAACCACAGTATCGTACACAGACTTGATGCCCATTTGGCGAGCCAAAGCTGGAATCCAATGCCCAAAATCATAGAAAACCATATCAGGCTTTATAGTTTTTAAGATGTCTTCAACTTGATCTTGGGTTCCATCAAAGCCAGCATTAAACTTGATCTTGGGTTCCATCAAAGCCAGCATTAGCGAAGGACACATGTAGCGAGAAAGGAACATTAGATACAGTTTTGGCGCCTGGAGGGAGACCATCTACACGGGGAACAACGAGAGGAAAGAATCGAATCAGGTTTGGGTAGTGGGTTAGCTGTTCCAACTTTGCCTGTGCTCCTTTAGGCAATAAGAAGGAAATCTTGTGGCCTTTCTCAGCAAGCTTGTTTGAGAGGTGAAGAAAGGAGATGAAATGGCCAAAGGCAAACCATGGAAACATAGCAACATGAAGTTCGGAGTTGTTCGATTTGCTCATCTTTGCTTCCACTCTGCTACCGTACGTCCAGACCAATATATATATATACTGTCTGTCAGAGGTGTCTTTTTTTCTTGCCTCTGCTATTGTTAGTAAAGAACGTGGATCACTCAGTATAGAGCAAACGTATCTTCCACTGACGCAACAATAGATTCTTTTCTGATTTCCAAATCTTTAAACGCCCATGGCGACATATATATGTTGTAATCCGCACTCTGTTTTGCTTCTTAGTTTATAATTAAATATATAGGAACTAATCTTGGATTAAGGAATAAGCACATGATCTTACCATTTAATCTCTGCATTATTCGTCAGAACTAAAATCTATTAAAAAGACTGGCAATGTAAGGCACAAAAACCATGTGTGTGGAGAATAAGCAAATGTGTACGCCAATTAGCTAGCTAGCATATCAAATCCCGTACTCCTCTTCCTTTTTGTGTATTGCTTGGTACAAGGCTCTTCCTCACCACTTGCACACACACAACAGATTTCCATCAATCTCCATCCCTTTACCTTGAAACCTGTAACCCCCCAAACTAGCAACAGAGTTCCAATTTGTATACTAATTACAGCATTCACTCCAAATAAATTAACAGCCACAGGCACCTATGAAGGTATTAATATATATTATCATAGATAATTCAAATTTTATGATCCGCAACTAACAAAAATCATTTAAAATTACAAAACTACATCTGTCTGACCAAACTATGTACTCTAAAGCAATCAAATACAATAAAAACTATCAAAACTATGGAAATGGAATGGAACATTACACGAGGAACAAAAATACCCTAAAAGAAATAAAGAACCATGAAAAAGGAACTGAAATCAAATGAAAAATAAAAAAAGGAAAATTGGGAGATGCTGCATCTTCTTTGACTTCAAATTGAAAGCTAGAGGAAGCTCAAGGACCATAACACAACGAGGAAGGTCCTGTGCTTAAAGAGATGAAAAAGGGAGGAAACTTGGACGCCCAAAATCATCTAACATTTAAGCAGAACAGCAGCCAACTTTCTTGATGGCCGAAACATCATCCTTGCTTCCAACATTGATGGTTTGTCCCTTGGGCAAGGCTGCAGGATCATCCCCTACCTCGAGTGCTTTTCGACTGACCACGCGATATATTTGAGTTAGCACTTCTGTGAATGCATTTTCAACATTCATTGACTCAAGGGCAGATGTCTCCATAAAGAAGGTATTTTCTCTCTCGGCAAAGGCCTTAGCATCCTCAGTGGAAACAGCACGCAAGTGTCGCAGGTCTGCCTTGTTACCAACAAGCATAATGACAATATTGGAGTCTGTGTGATCTCGTAGCTCCTTCAACCATCTCTCAACATTCTCAAATGTGACATGTCGAGTAACATCATAGACGAGCAATGCACCAACAGCTCCTCGGTAGTACGCACTTGTAATTGCTCGGTATCTTCGTAAGGAATATAACAAGAAATCAACTCTCAAAAAGCTTATAGAACACATTAATACAATTAATAAAATATATGACATTGTGGAAGCTCACTCTGGTACCTTTTACCCAGAGAAACATCACTGAGAAAATTATATGTGCAAATAGAAGGTTCAATTGTACAAACAACAGTTTTCCTGCCCCACGCATGACAAGCAGAGTTGAAGACAGAACAGAAGACATGACTTCTAAAGGCATGTAATGATGCTTTTCATATAAGTTCAAGCATCAAAATTTACAAATAATAGGACATTCATCAGAACTGAAACAAACACTACAACAATGTCCTAAATTTCAAAATAACATATAGTAGTCCTTTAAGACTAGAACAAGGTTACCTTAGTAGAATTAATACAACAATCAAAGCTGAAAATAACAGACAAATTCTTCTTAACCCAACAACAATAAATACAATGTTTCATCGATTAGATAGACAAGTGACAGGATATACAAGGGATATTCTAGAATGCTAACAGATATGGCTCAATGATTCAACTTGGACTTTAAAGGGTAGTAGGTGAACTCTATGTTTTCAATAATGGATCAAGTTATAACAGATATTAAATAAATTAGACCCACTACGTTTTCTGTATTGCTCATCCATGAGTAAACCAACTGTTGATTTTATACATAATCTATTCATAAACATGACACATGCTAATTTCTAAACCAAATCGAATTTGCAACATGCTAATGAAGAAAATTGTCTTTCACATATGCTTAAAACAATGCACCAATCCAAAAAAGCACTTTCTTTTCGCCAAATAACCAAAATCCAAGTCCACATGCTTTAACGTTAAAAAGAAAAAAAAATCTGAATACAACTTATTCCCACATTATCCTAGCAACCAAACAACCTAAAAAGAAAAAACCAAAATTCCAAGTACCCATTTCACCAAACCAATACACCAATCCAAGATACACCTCCTTCTCCTCAAATCTCTCAAAATTACAAAACCCCTTAAAACTAAAAAAAAGAACAAAACAAAACTGATGAGATACAAGAGCGAACATGTAAAACAAGAAAGTGAGTTTAAAAAATGTACCTTTCCTGTCCAGCGGTGTCCCAAATCTGGGCCTTAACGATCTTATCATCGACCCGAATGCTTCGGGTGGCGAATTCCACTCCGATTGTGGATTTGGATTCAAGGCTAAACTCGTTCCTCGTAAATCTCGACAGCAAGTTCGATTTCCCCACACCCGAATCCCCGATCAGCACCACCTTGAACAAATAATCATAGTCGTCATCCGCTCTATACGCCGCCATTTCGGGTCACCGGGTCGGGATCTTTTTATCGGATTTTTAAAAAAAAAATTCGATTTTTCGAGGAAATTTTTATCAAATGGCAGAGATCGATGGCATTAGAGAGGGAGGGAGAGAGCTTTCGACATTGGCAAAATTAAAGAGAAATGCGGGGTTAGATTCCGGAGGGGATAAGATTGGGTCGAGTCGGGTAATGAATTAGATGACCCGGCCCAATTAAGTTAGTGGGCCAATTTAACAGAAAGGTGGGTTCTTGGAAATTTTTGGAGCAGCCAGCTTAATAGAATAATAATAAATAGTAAGCATAATAATTAAAAGAATTTTTGAAATATTTTAAAAAATATTAAATAAACTTTTAATTTTTTATTACATTCAATTAAATTTTTATATTTTTATTTTAAACAAAATAAGTCTTTATTATTAACGATTAAGTAATTAAGTACTTATTTGGTATAATTTTTTTTCAACTTATTTATATTTTAAAAGTAAAAGTTAAGTCAAATATAAATTTTGAAAAACTTTTTTAAAAAGTAATTTTTTAAAAAATAAAATGTAAAATAAAAAGCTTCAAGAAAAGCTCCTATGAGGAGCTTTCTCTTTTTTTTTCTTTTTTTTTTAAAATGTAAGAAAATTTTTATTTTTGTTTCAAAAATATCCTCATTTATTAAAAATAATTACAATATTACCTTTTCAAAAAAAGTAATATCCTCTATGATAATTTTAACCAAAATTATAATTTATAAAAAAAATTTACCAAACAACTTTAATTTAATTTTAAAAGTTATTATTTTTCATAAAAGCTTTATAATAGCTTTTAAGCTTGAAAAAAACTAAATCAAACAAATTCTAAATGTCATTTATCATTTTATATTACGTAGTATTGATGTAACATGTTAACATATTATACATATATTTTTAAAATTAAAAAAAAAGATTCGAACTTTGTTTTTCAAATAATAGATCAATATTAATTAATGAGTCAAATATTTAAATAATATAACATATTGATATAATATTATAACATGATAATATAATCATACGATATTTTTCACTTTCATATCAACTCAATTGATATGAATAATTGTCATTAATCAAAACCAGATTTATTATTTTATATCATGTTATATTGATTTGATATATTAACATATTATAATTAATAATAACGTGACATATTGATATAATAAAATAAATTATAATGTTATCTGATGGTGGACTAAATCTATAGACAGGGTTTTTTAATTCTGTTATCTTTATGGTTGTGTTGATAAATGGAAAAGCATAGGCAATCAATATGATACAAGCAGGCTAGCCATAAGGTAGAATGTCAAAAACTGAGGAGACGCTTTGAAAGACAAAAGAGTCCTGGGAGTGTATTTCCTGGCCTGGGTAGTGTTGGTTTACGGCCTTTAATTTGTTCTTGCTGCCAACGGTCCCTGGCCTACTGCATTTAACTAATTGCCTTAACAAAAATGGTTTTCCTTTTCGGGAATTAATTCTATAGTCAAGCCTGGCAAACTCAAACTTCAATTACTGGTATCCATATATTTCAGCTCATTACTTTGAAGAAGCTCCTGATTGGTCAGCTACAAGAAGAGTTCAAAAGACCTGCAACTTGCATATAGGGGTCAACAAGTAGTTGATTCGATTGATTTCAGTCTGTTATAATTAATAGCTAAATGAATTAAATATTTTTAAAAAATTAATAAAAATTGAGTAAATATAAACAGATATAGAATTGATTAAATTAAAAATCTGTAAATTTAAAAATAATTATAAAATATGAAATGAAAATTAATAATAAATATATGTATTTTATATTAATTTAAAAATAGTATATTTATATATATATAATTAATTAGTTTGATCTTTTGATCGATTTGGTTTAAAAATTTTAAAATTAAGAATTAATTGAATAAATTAATTAAATCAAAAATTTTAAAGTGATAAATTTAATCAATCTATTAGACTGAGTTGTTTTACTTAAATAACATTTGAATCCATTCGGTTGATCCAGTACAATTTTGCTCACACCCTCCTTGCATGCGCCTCCATGCAAGTGAACTGTTATGAGCTTTTGGATTCTTTTCTTTTATAATGCGTCAATGTGAAAAACTCTAGCAGTGACTTGTGGAAGCTTGGGAAGCGATGAACGTTTTATCTTTCATTTCGATCAAAATTATGTTGCTCAGTCTCTTCTCTAGATTCTCTGTTGGAATCGATAGCTTTACCTCCTCGGAGTCTTTGAGTGATGGCAGGACCTTGGTTTCCAGAGATGGAACCTTTGAACTGGGTTTCTTCAGACCTGGAAGCTCCATGAATTGTTACTTGGGAATTTGGTACAAGAAAATCCCTGTCCGAACTGTTGTTTGGGTTGCAAACCGGCGCAACCCAATCAATGACTCGTATGGCATGCTGTTCTTCAACCGAAAAGGCAATCTTATGCTGTTCAGTCGAAGCAACGGTGTTGTTTGGTCGACAAACTCAACAGAGATAGCTCGAAAGCCAATAGTACAGCTCTTGGATTCTGGAAATCTTGTCATAAGAGATGAAAGTGATGATGGTAATTCAGAAAGAACTCTTTCGTGGCAAAGCTTTGACTATCCAACTGATACTATTCTACCAGGGATGAAGTTGGGATGGGACTTGAGAACTGGTCTTGATCGCCGTTTGACAGCATGGAAGAGCTCTGATGATCCATCTCCTGGAGACTTCACCGCTGGCGTCGAGCTAAATAATTACCCTGATGTTGTTGCACGGAAGGGTGCAAAGAAATACATTCGGACAGGCCCCTGGAATGGCGTCGGATACAGTGGTACACCCTTGTTAAAGCCTAGTCCTGGTTTTCAGTTCGAATTTGTATGGAATAACGACGAGGTGTACTTCAGATTTTACCTCGGCAATCAAACAGCTATCATGAGGTATGTTTTGAACCAAACCATCTATCAGGGCCAGGGCTACTTTTGGATTGAAGGAAGCAGGAGTTGGATGCTTTCTACTTATCCACCGACGGATGTTTGTGACAACTTTGGACTCTGTGGTCCATATGGGATTTGTTACAGTGCTGAAGTGCTACCTTGTCAATGTTTGAAAGGATTCAAGCCTAAAGCTTCAAAGTATTGGGACTCCATCAACTGGTCTCAAGGATGTGTGCGCAATAAGCCATTAGACTGCCAGAAGGGAGATGTATTTATCAAATTTGGTCGATTGAAACTGCCAGATACAGAACATTCTTGGGTAGACAAAAGCATAGGTCTCAAAGAATGCAGGGCTAAATGTTTACAGAACTGTTCTTGTATGGCCTACACAAACACAGATATAAGAGGACAAGGAAGTGGTTGTGCCATTTGGTTTGGAGATCTGATTGATATCAAACAGTTTCAAGATGGTGGGCAAGAACTATACATTCGAATGTCTACTTCTGAAGCAGGTATATGAGCTAATTACTTTTGATTGTGATAAGTATCAAGTAGTTCCTTTTAAGTTATAGTACCAAATATTAAACCAGTTAATGCTGCAGCATTTGTGCATCAATTCTCAGCTCTAATTTAACTTTCTTTCTTTTTCTTTCTTGGATTTATTGAATTGTCCTTGTTCATGAAGAGCCAAAAGGTGAGGTTAAAATGAAGCTAGCAGTCATACCTCCTGTCATGTTCTTAGTTGTTGGTGTGCTTCTTGTCTGCTATTACTTTCACAGAAGCCGAGCAAGAATGCAAGGTAAAGCCATCTGCCTTCAGAAATCATATTTCAACAATGCTCTAGAGAAACTTCAGAAATGTAAGGAGTGCTAGAAACTTCCCCTGGTTCATTTGAGAAAAGATGCAAAAGAACTTAAACACAATCATATGGTGGCTGTGAGAGGACTTTTGAGGTTTTGTTCAGAAATATGTTGGACCAAAGCCAACACAGTGGTCATAACCCAACATTCTATGGCTAACGTTAGCACTTTTGGCAACTGTTTCAGGGGGAAATGAAAATCATGGTGTAAATAACAGGAGCAATGCAGGGCAAAAGGAAGATATAGAACTTGAATTATTCGACCTAGCTATGTTAGCTAAAGCCACCAATGGCTTCACATTGGACAACAAGTTGGGAGAAGGTGGTTTTGGGCCCGTTTACAAGGTAAATTTGCACTGATCTGCTTAAAATGAATATTAGACAAAAACATTCTTATATATGGTACGTTATTTTCAGGGTACCATGGAAGATGGACAACAAATTGCTGTGAAGAGGCTCTCAATACGGTCAAAACAAGGATCAGATGAGTTCAAAAATGAAGTAGCACTGATCGCCAAACTTCAACATCGGAATCTTGTAAAGCTTCTTGGATGCTGCATCCAAGGAGAGGAGAAAATGCTGGTGTACGAATTTATGCCGAACAAAAGTCTGAATTTCTTCATCTTCGGTAATGGATCCCTCAAAAAACCCAAAAAATTTCTGTAGCCTAGTGTATATATATGACAAATGGAGACTGAATTTCAGTATAATGCATGCATGTCAGACAGAGCAAGACATGAGCTACTAGATTGGCCAAAGCGTTTTCATATTATCAATGGAGTTGCTCGGGGCCTTGTCTATCTGCATCAAGATTCCAGATTGAGGATCATACACAGAGATCTTAAAACCAGTAATATTCTTCTTGATAGTGAGATGAATCCAAAAATTTCAGACTTCGGCTTGGCTAAAACTTTTGGAGGAGACCAGACTGCGGGGAGTACAAATAGAGTGGTTGGAACTTAGTAAGTGGTTAACTGCACATTCATGAATTTAACTGTAAATCATCACTAATGTTGCTTTCTTCTGCTGATTTTCTACAGTGGTTATATGGCACCAGAATACGCTATCAATGGGCAATTCTCAGTAAAATCAGACGTTTTCAGCTTCGGGATACTGGTGCTGGAGATTTTAAGTGGCAAGAAAAATAAAGGGTTTTACAATCCAAGCCAGGACCTCAACCTGATTGGACATGTAAGCCTGAAACTTACTTGCTAAATGTTGATGTACTTTGAGGAGAATGACCAACAGCTTATAATTTTGTCTTAGGCTTGGGCACTGTGGAAGAAAGAAAAGCCACTAGAACTGATTGATTCGTTTTTACAAGACTCCTGCTCTGTGTCGGAAGTGATGAGGTGCATCCACATTGCTCTCTTATGTGTGCAACAACATCCTGATGATAGACCCAGCATGTCATCTGTGGTTCTTATGCTGGGTAGTGAGACTGCCCTGGTAGAACCCAAGGAACCCAGTTTCCTGATGGACAATAAGTCACTAGAAACAGATTCTTCTTCAAGCAATATTAAATTGTCAAATAATGATGTTAGTATCTCAATTTTGGATGGCCGATAGAGAAATATTCAGCTATATGTCTTATTCTGTCATTATCTTAGCAAATGCTTGCTCATCATGCAATTTGTACATTACATTTCCACATCCATGAGTGTGATATGTAAGGATTGGTTGCTCTGTTTCTCAAGTTAAATTCAGAAGACAGATCTTGTAGAAAGATTCCGAAAGAAAATTTGTATTTTGAATGTAGTTTGTCTCCCAATATTGGTTTCTTTATCTGGGAATTCAATTAGGACAAACATTGCAAAACATAGACTAAAGTGCTAATTATGAGAACATCTTCCAATCTACTCTGCCGCTGGCATTAGTCTAATAAAGATAAAAAGATTTAACAGTTTCTGTTAGCTTAATAAAATAATCTTATATTGTTTCTTAGCCATAAATGTCGCCAAAATTACTAGGTAGAAAAATGTTTATTGCTTCACATTTGTGTTATCATAATTATTATCTTCCAATTGTATTGTGTTGATCTAAAACATAGAGATATTATGTGTTTTAGCCAAAAATAAGAGATTCAATCGCTTCATCCATAAAATTAAAGATGAATAATGATATAAAGAACAACAGAGAGAAAGAGATGCTTGCATGAAATTTATATCTTAATTAATTTCTCTTGAATATTCGCATTTAATCTGATAGAATTCTCCATGTGCCTTTTTAGGAATTTTAGTAGGTCCCTATCATTTTGTTCCTCTAAATGAGAATAAACCTTTACAACGTAGTCAAACTCTTGACCATACAAATGGGATGCGCAAGCTGCTTTGTAAGTTAAAAGCTCCAAGACCCCTGTTCCAAACAAGAAGAACAAAAATCTATTTAACCAATCTCGCCAAGAAAAGGATCATGAAGCATGTGGAGTAGTTCGCTGGATGTGTACTAAAATATGAAAGATGCAACATAGCAGATGACTAGGTGATGCTTGATGATGATTGAAGCAATAAATTTATTCAGGTTAAATAACCATTCTTCAAAACTAGCAAGCCAAAAGGTTTCAATCATGCAAATGATAGCAATCAAAAGGACAATAAACTATAATGTAAGCAGGCTCAACATGTGGGACAAACTCCTGTGAGACCTGAGATAGATAGTAAAGGAATTAAGCAAAACGGTGCAAAGGGAAAGGATTAGACAGTTCTGTAATAGGAAACAGTAACAAACCTGAAGCAATTTCTGATGCAAGCATCTTGTTGGCAAAGTAACGTTTTAACCAGCATTTGCAGCGTAACCTCCAAACTTTTCTTGATTTTCCCTCAATAAAAAATTTTGGCATCTTATTGTAGTTAACAGAGAGCTTTGGAATTTGTTCACCTTCATTCCCATTGAGACATACTGACAATCGCTCCTCTTCATACTGATATAGTTTGAGGAAGCATGAAGCAAACTCCCTCCATGTATTGGACTCTGGATTGGTAGCTTCCAAATGCAAAGCAATCATCTCCACGAGGGATTCCAGACTATAGTCCCCTAAAAAGAATATCAAAATCACAGTTATATATGTAAAAAACTTCTATGATTAAGAGAGAGAGAGAGAGAGAGAGAGAGACAGAGAGAGAGAGAGAGATTGATTGTCAAAACCCAAGTTCAAATATTGCAAAAGCAGACCAAAAGAGGGAGGGGACATGGCTGGTGGCTATGTGTCACAACTAGGTGATAGAATCACTGCATTGAAACAACTGTCAAATGAAGTGGGTACTGGTCTATCTATGCAAGATAATTGATAATATACCATTTTGATGCATGCTGACAAGTCTTGCCAATGAGTGGCAGCATGTTGGATCCTTCTTCAAAGTCTCCTCAAAACATGCAGAGAGCATGACAGAATTATTGGAATAAAAACACTCTAAAAGACTGGCCCTTAATCTGCAAAGGATCAGCACATCAGTGTTTTGTAAAGGCAACAAGAGGACCAACAGCAAATATTAGCGTACTGCAAGAATAGTTAAATCTTCTCCATAATATTTAGAAAGTCCTCCTGAAAGTAAAGATTCCATGGGAGAGAGTAGAAAATAATTAAAATATCAAGCCCATTCTACTAAAGGAAAACTTCTAAGCAAAGATGGAGCTTTAGGCTCAGATACACCCAAGGGAGATTTCTGCACAAGATATATCTGTCCAGACAGAAGAAAAAGGAAAGTAATGTCAACAAAACCATCTGCCTTATCACAAAAATCTCTGCAAAGGCAACAGTACCATAATGTCCCTTGGAACAACTAGTACTAACACATTCAGATATAATATTTTCCCCAAAAGAGTATCACCAGATGTAACAGTCACAAGAAATACCTGAGTTGTAATCATTCGGTGAGTCCTCTAGCACTTATCTTCATATTAGTTTTCTGTTATCCTCAAGTTAACTGAGTTAAGCCAAAATGAAATAAAGTACCTTTGGGATTATATTTTCCAATATGAATTCACTTCTTGGCAACCAGGGAAAAAAATGGGGGAAAAAACAAAATTATTTGGTAGGTCGATACCTAAATGGAAAGGGCACTCTTGAATTGTTGCAGAACTTTTCAACTTCACTTAGGGCCTCATTCACTTGACCTCCAATCAGCAACAACTGGCATAAAACAGACAAAAAGAGAATAATGCTTGAATCAGTAAGAAAGAATAACTTTTAAAAGTAATTAAAATCTCTATCATAATATTATATAGATATAGATCCCTTTTGTGTTTTGACTAATGTATATCTAAATCTCTATAAGAATATTATAAGATACTCCAGCTTACCGTTTAAGATTTTCAAAATACATAAAAAAAATTGTAAGGAAAACATAATTATACCTGCACTAAAGGAAGTAATGCTGCTGACAAAGAGGGTGTAGAGTGAAGTGCAAGCTGTAGATACTTCACAGCATCATTATAATGATTATTAAGTATTTGCCTATGCAAATAGACAAAGTTCTCACTAGAATGTGGCAACTTTAATGGCATCAACCATGACTCTAGACCCTCTGAAATAAGAAAAATGACAAATTTCAATAATCCATAGGCTTAGGTATGATCATGAAACAATTAATAATTATCAAAGCCAAAAAGCCTCTAACAGATGCCATTGTAGAAAATCATAACAATGCATCCAAAACATTATTCGTGCAAAGATATTCTTCAGCCTGTCAAGTAATTAGGCCACTTGACATTTGACATATATACAAATAAATTCAGTGTGTCTATTTAAGAATTTTAAACATACTTCCGCCAGGTAGGATGAATATCCAACAGAGTAACATATAAGGTACAACAACAGAAGGGATGAGGAAGATAAGAAGGTTATCTCCTATACTTAAGCAAAAGAACATTTTACCATCTCCGATGCATATCTGTGTATCTGATATTGGTATCAGCTGGATCTTTATTTGTTCAAGTCCTAGCATCAAGTCTTTCTTTCCAATTTTTCCACTTTATTTCTGGATCTCTAGCATATTTCCCATTTAGTCAACAATTGAATAAGTTCTCACGTACTAACACAAAGAAAAGGGGAAATAATAATCTGCTATGCAGCACTAAAGACTTTTAATTATCCAAAATATACCTCGGATATGCATGCATAGGCAACATCATGCTCAATATATCACTCCAAAGTCAAAAGAAGAATACCAAAAGTAAAACTTGGTATTATCATGACAGATAAAATATATAGGGCATTCAGAGCTCACCAAGGGCAGAGAAAACTGAAGGATCACATGTATAGCCACTATCATTGTATAAACCAGCTTCATTTTCAGCGGAGTTTTGGTAGGAGGCCAGTGGTTGAACCTCTTCTTGGAGATTTGCACGCTGCAAATTAACATCAGTCTGCACAGGAACTTCGCTGTGTAGCTGGCTATAAGCCACCGGCATTATTCTTTTATCATTCATGACAGATGTCTGTGAATCATATTGAGAAGTAACAGCATCACGAGTATAAGCCGCATTATTTCCCTCTGAGTTAACAATTTGGTTGCTGAATTTTGATCCTGAAGTGTCTGATTGCAGCTGAGGGATGCAATCCTGGTTTGAATCTCTCAGCTTAACCTCGTCGGTGAGATCAGAATACCAAAGCTGACAGAATGTCAAGCCCATGACCAAATTTGACATTGGGTGACTACTAACGTGACGTTCTTTCATCAAGCTGAGGGGGAGAAAGCTCACAAAAGTCACTCAAACACTGAATTCATTCATGTATCATATTCCAAAGACAATAAACCTTTACTTGCATATAGCTGTCAGTACAAACTTTATATACAAATACATCAAGAATGCTACTGTATATCTTTCAAAAAAAATTAATAATAATGCTACTGTATGAACATATGAGATGACTCTTTCATGAACCAATTGACTGATCCATCCATTGATGTAAAAGGAGATGCATAATGTCATGTATCACAGCCAGAAAAATGCTATCCAAATTATCATGGAATCACTTTCTTCAACCAAGCCTAACATTGGCAAATACACACTGCGCAAGTAGAGAAACGAATTCATCACTTTCCAGGCAGTTCTCTCTGATCATGCAGTGTTACTCTTCCTAGCAGCATTCTCCAAGCCAACCAGAACTGATTCTTCCATTCCTAAGCTATAAAGACCCTAACTACACCAAATCCTGATAACCCCTAACCTGTAGATAGTAGCAAACCATCTTTCCTCCATGTGAAGACACTAAATCTTATTGATTGGCTCCAGTTTCCTCAAAGAAAAAACTTATTTCTGTTTCTTTAGAATCCTAAAACCTAAAAATCTCTAAATATCTTAAATCAAAGTGTGGTACAAGTGAAGAAGGCAGAGGGCTTCTAATTTGTCCTGCACCAAAAACTTCGACTTGTTTACTAGTAACTCTCAAAGGCCTCTGACACAGCTTGTCAGAGGATGATTCAGCCCCCAAAAGAACTACCTAAGTTGTTGTGTTCCTCACACCACCTTATATACACCAAGAGGTCCAAGCCTACACCAGCATAAACCCAATGCAGCAATCATCAGTCAACATATTCCAGCAACAATGTCACACCACAGAAGAAACTAACCCAATGAGGAACTCTGACCAAAATTTATAAGAACGCATGATGGGATGGGTTTCAAATTAAAAAAGAAATTTTCTTTGCTATACAAACCAAACCCAATATTGAAACTGTCCTTACACAGATCTTGAAATATCTAGATGGCTAAAGGAAACCTAAATCAAAAGCTACCCCTTATCTAAGTATGAATTAAAGACACCGTAGATTTGAATTATTCAAGTAGATTCATATGTTCAAGGGCAAGCTTACAGTCATTGCAGCCAACTCTTTCTTAACAGTTAGAACCGCAGAAGGAGTTCTTTGGCCAGAAAGATTGTTACTAGCTTCCTAATTTTGCATGATGGATAACACAGTGAGTGATGTACAATGATTGACAATTAGGTGATGATAGGCACAACAATATCATATTGCTTTTACATTAACCCAAATCCTTAAGCAAAAGGATATAAGAACAATACCTTAAAGCAGCTTGATGAGCCCACCCAAGATTCCCATGTGTAAGGCAGAAAATAAGGAACTCCAAATGAACTGCAATCTGCTCCTGTTCAACCACAAAAGATCTATTTTTGGAAACAGGTAAATGCAGCAATAATTGTGAATATGTCAAACTATACCTCTACTTGCACAGTCTTGGACCTGATCCTGCTCATCCAAATCTCATAGATGTCCCTGATCCTTCTAATGTCAACATGATCTCCCTCTATGTGCTTAAGAAGCCTAACTGAAGCCTGAAAACATCCCTTACACACATCATCAGTTCTTACTTTCAACTATATATCCGAAAAGAAAAACATATATACAAAAGCACAAAATCAAATTGTACTAGCATGCAACAATATAATTAATAATGCATCAGTTTTCAGCTGCTATAGTCTATTTTGAAAGTTCATTAGAAAATATCCACTGCTACTCTTTGGTGCAAAGTCTCTGCTCCACCTGTACTTTCTCTCATGAGGCACTGCTTCGCATCCTCCTACAACAAATTTACGAATATCTTCGACATATACATATGACGCACAAGCCTAAACGCAAAAAGGTATCTAAGATTGAACCAAAAAAAAAAACAAGAGGACATATGCAAATAATTGAACTAGAAAACATCTCTAACACATGAAGGTAACAAAATAATTCAATAAATAAAGCTCTGTTAAGTCACTGATTACTTGCCTTTTCGCTTCCTAAAAAGTTGCTATAAAGCAAAAATAAACAAACAAATAACATGCTACACTCATTCTAACGCAATTGTATCACAAAATGGTAGAGTCATAGATTTTGTCATCCAAGAAAGAAATTCAGCCATACCCAATACTTGAGGCGATTCAAATCAGCAGATCGATCCCAGGAAGTACCCTTCAGCAACAAGCTTAAAACCCCACTTGCCTCAGCCCAATTATGCTGCTTTACGAGTTTCTCCAAAAGGTAACACAACCTTTGCCGATTTTCCCATCGAATGTGGATTCCTCCGAGATTTAGAAGAAAAGACGGCCGTGTTAATGATAGTATCATCCTTTTGTCTAGCTTTCGTTTATAGGTCTTGGGTTCTTCTAAACTAGCTTTAAATTTCTCCATCTCCGTGATTCTGCCTCTTGCTTTGTTTTAGCAATGGTTCCACAAAGCAACCCAAGCTTCGGTCTTTGGCTGACGTTTTAAGCAGCGATGGAGCAGTGAAGGGTTTCGCGGTCATGGTGGAGGAGCCAAATGGGCGTGGCCGCCATTCGAAATCTGGAAGAGCAAATTAATTAACAAAATAGGATTATATTAATATTAGCATAATTAAGATATAAAAAAATAAATATTTTCAAAAAAATAAAAATTATTTAAATAAGAGATTTTGCTCTAAAAGCAAGGTATGAGGAAAGATCTTAAAAATGTCTCTATTTTAAAATAATTATTTTTAATTTATTATTACTATTATTATTTATGGTTTTTTCAAATTTAAAATTACTCTTTTTATTAGTATTACTTTATTTATAATATTGTGCAATTTAAAATCATTTAGATTAGTAATATTTATAATTAATTTAACAAAATTATTAATTTTTATATTTGGATATCAATGATATTATAATTGTTATTTTTTTTTCTATTTTATTTATTAACAAAAAAAGATAATTTTTTTTGTATGTTAATATATTTCTTCATTTTTTAAGTTGAAAAAGTATATAATTATTGTCACAATTAATAAAAATTTAGATTTTTTTTTATATTAGGGATGAAGAAACTTCTGAGATAAAAAATAAAAATGAATCAATATAAATAATTTTAAAATTCAAAGTTGGAAATTACAAATTTGCATATAGTGTTTCTAATTGTTATCTCTATTTATAAACAATAATTAAAAAAAAAGGCTTCAACCAAAAAATTAAAAAGAAAAAGAGGGAACTAACGGTACAACGGTAACAGACAAAGATTTACAGGGGGAGGTTTTGTCTCCACCGTCCAGTATGAAGACCCTCGAAACTAAACTCTAGAAGTCACAACAGTCAACGGGCAAGCTCCTCGCAATAATTTACCTGATCAAAAAACATTGCAGAGCTCGATACGTCTCTTCAACTGACCAAACTGCCACGTCAACATCTCTTGATCTCAAATCCATCACGTCCTTCATTGGTTGCTTTCTTGTCTGATTTGCTCGTACGATTCAATCGAGACAGAGAATGATGGAGAAGCCAGCGGCGGAGACCACAAAAGGAGACGGTTTGGGGGGTTTTCCCGACGACTTGGAGTACCAATCGGGATTCGGCAATCATTTCTCGTCGGAGGCGATCGCCGGAGCTTTGCCAGGTGGCCAAAATAGTCCTCTTATTTGCCCTTTTGGACTGTACGCTGAGCAGATTTCTGGCACTTCCTTCACTTCTCCTCGTAAGCTTAATCAGCGCAGGTAAATCTTTACTATCTTCAATCTTCTATTCATTCATTTGTTGAACTTTTAAGTTGACACGTGTCCATTTAAGCTGAACAATATTGAAGTTTGTCTTTATTTTTCAATTTTAATTTTTTTAATTTTTTGAATTTACTGTGTGAATAGTTGGTTATATCGAATCAAACCATCGGTTACTCACGAGCCGTTTTGGCCTCGGGACTCAATTCATAAGAAGCTTGTGAGTGAATTCGACGGGTCCAACACGGTTGCGAACCCTACTCAGCTCCGGTGGAAGCCTGTGGATATACCCGATACGCCGACGGATTTTATTGATGGTTTGTTCACGATATGTGGAGCTGGCAGCTCGTTCCTTCGACATGGATATGCTATTCACATGTAATTGGTATTTTAGTAGTCATTTCACTTCTTTCACGAATCCTATCATTAGTGCCATATGACAGTGTTTTTTAATTTTTTTCAATGAGCAGTACTATTTTTTACCTGTTGTCGAACAATTATGAGAAATTTAGTGTGGGATTTGTTGGATTTTGTTGTTCTAGTATTCATAAGGTTTAAGGAAACCAAATAACCAATTCCATGGCACTAGTGTATATGGCGTTAAGTTATAGACCTTGGCCGATTATGTATATTGCTTGTTGATTTTTATATAAATGGGGAAAAGATGCTGAAAAGGAAGTGGACAAGTATAAGTTTACTTCTAGAACTGTTTGCTGGCCAATCTTGGGGAGAAAATTAGAAGCTGAAGTGTTTAGTAACATGTTTGATGAATGATTTTAAGCATTCATAAGATTTGGAGTCCTGGCAAGATGACCTTGGTAGACTTTATAATGGAGGAATTGCAGCTCTTGAAGTTTTAAAACTTGGCACATTTCACAAGCACTGAGCTCAGTGGAATGGAATACTTCTCTGAAGTGCAACTTGTCCATTAGGAAAACTGAACTAATGTGAGTTGGGCTTATTTGACATCTATATTTTGACCTGATATGTATTCTGGCTGAGAAATATATTATGTGCTTGGTGGAGATGAGTTTCACCATCATATCTCTCTGTCAGTTTGTCTCTGTCTCTCTAAAGTATTCAGAAAACAACTTTTTTGGATGCATTGATCCTTAGTGAGGAGACTTGGACTCATGCTTAATTGTTTGGCTAAAATGTATATGTTAGAGGCAATAAAATTTTTTCACATGTAGGTACACTGCCAACAAATCAATGGACAATTGTGCCTTCTGCAATGCAGATGGTGACTTTTTGGTAGTTCCCCAGCAAGGAAGTAAGTTAAAATCCTTATCCTTTTATCTGTGAATTCACGGGCACCTGTGGAACAATTTTTAAACTGCATAATTTTGCATGTCTGGAATTTGTCTCAATTTTTAGGTTTTCAATTTGAGTAGTTTTATTTTTTAAAATAGAAGGATACTAAAATAGAATTACTGAAATTAAACAAAATAGTTAACTTATAAGTCATTGTTGTAGCTTGCATTTCATTCTGGGGCATGAACCACTTGTATTATTGAGCAATCTGGCTCTATCTTTTAGGTCTTGCCATGTGATAAGAATTTATGTTTTCTCTGTTTTATTTATTCATTTATGAGTGTGTGTGGAGAGCTCAAATATTTTTTTGACATGAGGGAATATGCTTACTTAAGAACTACATTTCTAATTACAGGGCTATGGATCACTACTGAATGTGGAAGATTGCAAGTCTCTCCTGGTGAAATTGTTGTTTTACCTCAAGGCTTTCGCTTTGTTGTAGATTTGCCTGATGGCCCATCGCGTGGTTATGTTGCTGAGGTTTTCGGTACCCATTTTCAACTTCCTGATCTTGGTCCGATAGGTACCTAATTTCTTGTTCAGATGTGGCCTGTGAGTGAATGAAGCATAATATTTTGTTGTTCTTGTACCATTAAGAATAAGTCACTTTATGGATCATGTTGGATGGATATGACCTTTAGGGGATGATGTTGATCTTGTGTAGGTGCTAACGGTCTGGCTGCTTCAAGGGACTTCCTTGCTCCCTTAGCCTGGTTTGAGGAGCGCCCCCGCCCAGGGTTTACTATTGTACAAAAGTTTGGAGGAGAACTTTTCAATGCAAGACAAGATTTTTCTCCTTTCAATGTAGTTGCCTGGCATGGTAATTATGTCCCATATAAGGTGGGTGTAATGGTCATGGTATTAGTCTTCTTTATTTTGACCATATAGTATGTAGTAGAGGCATTTAGTTGTCAGCCTTTCGTTTTTGCATGTATTAAGTTGATCAGATAACAGTTCAAAGTTCAAACTAAAATAGTTAAAACTATAAGATTTGGATTATGACAAATTGTAGTGATCTGATTTAAATCAAAATCTTGTTGCTTTCAGTATGATCTTAGCAAGTTCTGCCCTTACAATACTGTTTTAGTTGACCATGGCGATCCTTCAATAAATACCGGTATGATTGCACATGGACTCAGTCATCGTGTAATACTTTTCCTCTAAAGACAAGGTTTTTTTTATCCACATTTGATTAGAGTGATGTCTTGCAGTTCTGACAGCACCAACTGATAAACCGGGTGTGGCATTGCTTGATTTTGTCATTTTCCCTCCACGATGGTTGGTTGCTGAACACACATTCCGACCTCCATATTACCATCGTAATTGCATGAGTGAATTTATGGGCCTAATATATGGTGGATATGAGGTGAAATCCTATCACATTCTGGCTGTTATCTATTTTGGCTGGTATAGTTTGACTACTTAAGCAGCCCTGTTTTCTTTATCTCTCTGCTAAGAAGGACAATGTCCTTGAGTAATTGACAACACAATATGGCCAATTCTTGAAGAAGATTATTTTGCAATGTGCTTTTCACAGAACTGTTGTGTGTTTCTTCATTAATATATTTCTAGTAGAACAGTGGATTGTGGGGTTGTATCTACAGTGATATCTACATGCTGGTAGAAAGCAAGTTTGACCTTTTATTCTAATGTTGGCTTGCCTTGTTAATTCGGAAGTAATTCTTTGTCAAGCATGACGAGACCTGAATTCGGCCTTATTTATTCTTCTAATATAAAATTGTCTATGATGTTTCAGGCAAAAGCTGATGGATTTCTGCCCGGTGGTGCTAGCCTTCACAGCTGCATGACTCCACATGGTCCTGATACCAAGACATATGAGGTAACCATCTCAAGTACAGCTTCAAGATTGCAAGATGTATTCATTTATGCCTTTTTGTTCTTTAGCTTTATGATAATTTGATTGACCAGAAAAAAATGAACTGCATTACAATGAAATTTTGCAAAATAGCATAGTGAGAATCTATAGCTCACCCCGAGCGATGAATTTAGAAAGCTAAACCTTTTTTAGGATTATTACTTTCAAAAGGTGTTCCAAAATTTTCTTTTCAAGACTTTTAAAATCTTGAAAAGACCACTACTTGCTTGACAAACGTCTTTAGTACTCTATGATTGGAAGTGCCCCCTTTTTTTGATCAACGGTCTGTTCTCCTTACTCTTATCACTTGCAGGCTACAATTGCACGTGGAAATGGGGCAGGACCTCACAAGATCACTGATACCATGGCCTTTATGTTTGAATCATTTTTAATGCCTAGAACCTGTCCATGGGTTCTTGAGTCCCCCTTCAGGGATCATGATTATTACCAGTGTTGGGTAGGACTGAAAGCCCATTTTTCATGCGAAAAAGCAAATGGTAAAAGCAATGATTTGCAGAATGGACTCAAGGAAGCTGGGTGTCAAAGCCACCATGGTTGATTTGGTCTTGAAATGTTAACCTTGGGCTCGAGCTCTTATCTAGTTAACCAGCAAGTGCTTGTACGTAGGTAGTAAGCAGAAAGGGTCAGGGTAGGTGGCAGGGTGGTTTTGTTGTTCTTGAGCTCTTGCTTATGTGCTATGATTGTCTTGGCTCAAAATAAATATATGAATGTACAAACTGTGATTGCTACAGTACTTGAAGAAAATATGTCTATATGTATGCATTTGATCTCTCTCTCTCTCTCTCTCTCTCTCTCTCTCTCATGTATGCCTGCACAAGCACAGGATCATTCTTGCCAGGTACTGAGTAACAACGTAGTTTCATCTATTTACAAGGTGGATACCCAAATGTCTTAAAGGACTGCATAGTCTGAGAGGTAAAATACCAGAAAGAGCATCAGTCAGTGTTTTGTTCCCCCTCTTTCTGCCATGTCAATTGCCTGCAAGTCATTCTTCTTCTGCTGGGGATTTTTTGGGTTGCTGTAAATTATATAAATTACAAAAAGGGTTTTCCATTTTTCTGGGTTAAATCCTTTGATAGAGGTGTGGTTGATAGTGTTGCAGATTTAATACAGTAAACAACTGACCAAGGGCTATATCATCCAAACAATAATATTGTCATCTTAAAAGCGTATAATATAATATTATATATTTATATAGGTTCAGGTATCGTATCTCTAAAAGGTAAAATTCATATTTATTCAAACCCAAACCCTAGACGGGCAGTAAATTTTTTACCCAAACCCAAATAAGCCCATATACTGAGTTTCTATTACATTTACCAAAAACATGCTATGTGATTTATGCAAACTGCAAAGTAAACAGCTTTTTTTTTTCACTTTTTTTCTGCAGAAATTAAATAATAGCAGGTGTAGAACCCATTTCCTGGAGCCTGGGCCTTGGTCCCAATGGTTCACTTCACCCACTCTCTTAGGAGGGGCAGAGCTGGGTTTGAGCCTCGATTCTTGCAAAATCATTGATGAACTAAAATAGAAGCATGCCTAGCTAAAATAGAAGAAGAA